AAAGATGATTTTATTGCTTGTCTGTAGCGGTCATATCTCTTTCTAATTGAAAGCAAATTCCGAATCTTCTATTTAAACGTTTATCCGAGTTTTATTACCAACGTCCAAGAACGACTACTCGACTTTTTGATTAAATTCGACGAGAAACGAATTATGAATTTGTATAAATTTAGAATCGAACTACAGAATGGTTGCTAAAGACAATCTTTTGATTTAGAATTAAGTTTTGTTTAGAATGAGGATTATTTGCTGCCTCTGAATATATTTATCCCGCTGTAGGTGAATAGAAGTACGTAGTTGCACTTCAATTAGAATTGAATTGCTGTCCTTTTTTTATACTGAAGATTAATTTTTACGCAATTTTAATTGGGTGAAAGAAAGGAAGAAAGACGTAAAGAGGGAAAACAAAAAGAAAGAAAGAAAGAAAGAAAGAAAGATGAAAAGAGAGACAAAAAGAAATAAAGGCAAAATGAAAGAAAGATATAAGAAAGACGAAAAGAAACAAAGACAAAAAGAAAGAAAAGCAAAAAGAAAAAAGCAATAAGAACGAAAGAAAGAAAGAATAAACGACAAAAAGAAAGACAATAAGAAAGAAAAGCAAGAAGAAAGAAACAAACAAACAAAAAAGAAAGAAAGAAACGCCAAAAGAAAGAAAAAAAAGAATGATTTTTTTGAAGCGCTGTGAGATAAGTATATCTTTATGAAATTACGCCAAAAAAAGAAAGAAAGAAAGAAAGAAATACAAAGAAGTATAAAAAGAAGGAAAGAAAGAAGAAAGAATAAGATCGAGGTATTAAAGGGGAGTGGAAAGAAGAAAGGAAAGAATCAAAAAGCATAAAAAAGAAAAAGAAAGAAGCAACGAAAGAAAAGAAGAAAGAAAGGAATCCATATGAAAATGAAAGTCAGACTCAAAACAAAATGGAAAGAAACACATACACACACACACACACACACACATACACATATATATATATATATATATATATATATATATATATATATATATATATATATAATCACGATCAATTCATCAAACCTACAAATTCAAAAAGAAATCAGAAAATATATATTTTCCGATTTCTTTTTGAATTTGTAGGTCTGATGAATTGGATGGTGATTATTATTCCAATGTAATAAATTATAACCATGGAATATTAATGTTTGAGCCATTTATATTATATTTTTGCTCTCTTGTACATTGAGCTCTACCTGGATGCTATCCTTCTGGAAATATATATATATATATATATATATATATATATATATATATATATATATATATATATATATATATATAGTTTCTTCAGGCCTGACGATTGCGCTTAGTATAAAAGGGTCTGTCGACTCTGGTTGTTGATTTCAATGTCCACTTTAATACCTACATATATTCTATCTTTCATATTGTGCACTTTAAACCAAAAATATAGCATAGCTTAAAACTATATTTCTATCATACACACACATATGTGTAATCTTCAAGTTTGAGTCTTTGAGTGAACATTCGGTATTTATCATTTCACCCACGGGAAACGAATATGGCACAAGGTCGGTTTTATTGTGGGTTTCTCCGAGCCCGTAGGCTCGGCCAAAAAATAGCCTTTGAAGCCGATTAGACGGGTTCAGGCCCTGTCTACCTCCCCGGACGAAACCTTGCCCTTCGGCAAAGCCTCGTCCGGGTTCCTCTCTGCTAACGCAGAGAGTTCGACAGGAGGCGTGCGCAGTCAGAGACCGCTCAACACCATTCTTTGAGTGAACATTATATTCAAAAGTTAATTCGCCCAATTACAGTCCATAGCTTCTGTTAACCATTGCAAAATCTCAGATGTTAGAGCCCGTATGTCAAGCAGCTAGCAGTTAGGTCTCAAATTAAAATCGTTCTTCGGAGATCAAAAGTGTTTAATGAGGCAACGTCGGTGAAAATACACATTCAAAGTAGATTAGATACTCTGTTAGTGGTGCTTAGGATACGCACAGGCCCGGACTTCATATAGACCTATATCTAACTTCTTTCTTTCTATGTGCCGTGTCCTTTCAGGACGTAGGTGATCATGGGTCTCCACCTCCCTCTATCCCTTGCAGCTCTCACTTCCTTCCCTCTGCCACCTCCCCCAGACCACGTTCTGTCACCCACTTGCTTATGCCCGCCAGGTATGTCATGCGTTGTTTTCCCTTGTCTCACTTTCCCTCTATTCGACCCGTGATTATCAGAATCTCCAGGCCCTCCTTCCTCATTATGTGTCCCAGAAACGTCAGCTGTCTCTTCCTGATGTTTGCATCCCCTCTAAGACTTCATTGTTGCTCGGTCCATGATATCCTTAGTATCCTTCTGTAGAACCATATCTCCGTTGCCTCGAATCTCTTCATCTTTGAGGAAATTGTCCAACATTCGCTGCCGTAAAGAAGAGCAGATGTCACGTAACAGCTCAGTATTCTTTTCTTTGTTACCAAAGAAATCCTCTTGTCTCGCAATACACCTGCCCAGCTTTTAGGATGCATCCTTGGCCACCCCAATATGTCTACGGATCTCAGTGTCGCATTTACCGTCCTCTGTCAGAATGCTTCCCGGATATTTAAACTGCCGTGTCTGCTTGATTCTAATGTTCCCGACCTGCAAATCGCAATCCGGGTTCCTCCTCTTACTGATGACCATGCATTTTGTTTTCTTGTAGTTTATACTTAATCTCTTCATCACACTTTCCGTCGCTACATTCTACAGCAGATTTTGTAATTTATTTTCCATGTCTGCTATCAGTACTGTGTCATCTGCGTATCTTATGCCAAGTGCCTTACTGTATAGGTTCAACAGGTCCGGTGAGAAGACGCATCCTTGCCTTACGCCACGTTCGATTTTTGTGTATTCACGGAATTCGTTCCTTATGCGCATGCATTCTGTTTTCTGCTCCTATATGTTCTGGAATATTCTGATATCTTTCCCCAATATATCGAGGTTGCTGAGCAGTTCCGCTGATGTTTGCACTTTACTCTAATGTAAACATGACCTCTGTCTACTTTTAGACCGAGTCTAAACCGGACCTATATCTTTTAACTCTATTCCAAACTCGACGAATCTCTAAGAGTCCATTACAAATCGAACGTATTTTGACATACATCCTGTGTAAACCGTATCTTTTTAGTTCTCCTGCAAACCAGACATATAACTCTTAAAAATTTTATCGCAAGTGCTGATATGCCGTTAATTTAACAAACAAACCGAACTTGAAGCAATTAAAAATAAAAATATCTCCGTGATTGCTTACGGATGATGCAGATCGTATCTATATTATTTGCGTATAAAATAACGGTTGGATGGTAACAAGAGTCATAATATTAACGTTTAAAAACTGTAAGCGCACGGCGTAGCGATTTACTAAATTTAGCTTTCATAATGTTTTGTTTTGCCATTATCCATTCCAGACTGTTTCATAAATTATTATTTTTTTTTAATTTTTGATTCCTTTTTACGGCTTATCGATCTTTTTCAGATCGTTAAAGGCAGAAAAAAAAACTTTGACAGTAATATTTTTTATATAATAATGATTCTAGTGATAAAAGATTACCGCATCCTGGCTAAGATGTTAAACTGCATCCGCGTCCTGGGTAAGATTATTATTAAAATACACTTTTAAGTGCCGAATCTATGTGCGTCGTCAGTGTTGTTGCTCTCATGTCACTAGAAGTTTCGAGTCTAAATAAACAACAGACTTCTTAGATTGGCGACCCGACCGAATATGATCAGTATTCGGCCCGCAACCCAGAATAAAATTTGCTACTAGCTTTAGGACGTGCATTATATAAGTTCCCCGAGAAAACGGCAACTAATCAAGACTTCACTTGGACTATTCGATGTTATAGATCAGGTATGCTTGGTTGTGCTGATCTTCCTACAGGCCGCCAAGACAGGATCTTTTTTGTAAGAAGAGAAGAAAACAAACCACTATATATATATATATATATATATATATATATATATATATATATATATATATATATATATATATATATATATATATATATCTATTTGTTTGGTTGTTTGGTCTTTTTTTTTATAACTTTCCTTTTTACTCTTATTTTTTCTCTTAACTACACTTAACAAAATATTTACAATAGAGTGATTAAAATGACTTAGACTATTTACAAAAAAAAGAACTCCTAAAATACGGGATGAATAATTTGGGATATTGATTGATACTCTAATAAATTCCGTTTAAAAACTCAGAGATATAATGTTTAACTAAAATTACTTTAGTGATTAGAACGAAATACTTTTGAGTTCACTACAGAGAGTTGAGTTAAGGGGAAATAACAGATATATCCAGAAGCGGCATGGCACGTGGATCTAGAACAATCTATCTCGATGGACGATATAAAAGGTTCGGTTCGAAATTCGAATCACCTGAAGAAGGCCTGGGGGTACAATGGCCGAAACGTTGTAAATATGGCAACGAGGATAACAGTCAGAATAATGTAAAGAATGGAACTTGTCGGGACTTGTGCTCTTCTGATAAGCTCTGCTTGCATTTCGTCACGGTTTCATGTTTCTCAAGAAAATGCATTTCAATGATGTCGCGTCAGATAAAAAAACACGGGAATAAATTCAACGACAGCCCACGCAGTGACTATAAACAAAACAGTTGTCAGCCAGTGTCAGGACTTACTTTCTGGAGACATTTGGTGTCAATTCGTCTATATTTGATCGCTAAAATTCCTGGTTAGATGACACGTACTGTCTTTTGTTTAATGGCAATCGACAGCAATATAGGTAAGACGATTAAAAAAACAATAAAAGTAGAAGGAATTTATACACTAAGCATAGTTTCTCCGGGTGCTGTTAAGGCGGCACACGGCTGGGTCATGGGTAGCGAGCTTGTCTCGTTCATCATTCAATCCTGGTTGCCGCAATGCCGGTGGCCTTGTGTTAAACTAACAAAGGTTCTTCTCGAAAATCCGAGGAGGACATATAGTACGAGAATGTTCACCTGAAGAATGGTGGGCTTGCAGTCACGTGAAAATATCGCTTCCCGTATGATCATCGAAGTTAAGCAACGTCAGGTCTGGTCAATACTAAGACGGGTGACTTCTTGGGACACCAGGTGCTTTAAGCTTGCGGGTGGTGTAATGGATGATAGTTTAGAATTGCTAATCGGATAGACGAGTGACCAATTCCTGTTATATTCATATGCGTAAATACTACTGGAAAAAGTGTGAATCCACATTTTCTACTCCCAGCTATGGGTTAAATAGTAAGTAATCTTGTTTTGTTTCGCGGCATATCAAACTCATTGGGATATTTAGTGCAACAATTTTTAGTGCTGGTAATATTTTTTTTCAAAAATATAGTGTTGGTAATATTTTTTCAAAAATATATTGCTGGTAATATTTTTTTTCAAAAATGTCTAGCTAGTAATATTTTTCTTCAAAAATATATTATTGTAATAATTTTTTCAAAAATGTATAGCCGGTAATACATTTTTTTCAAAAATGTATTTCTGGCAACATTTTTTTCAAAAATGTATAGCAGTAAATATTTTTTTCAAAAATATATTGTAACATTTTTTTCACATATGTACAGCCGGTAATACTTTTTTTTCAAAAATGTATTGCTGTTAATTTATCCTTTCAAAAATGTATTACTGGTAATACTTCTTTTCAAAAATATATTGCTGTTAATATTTTTTCCAAAAGTGTATTGCTTATAATATTTTTCTTTCAAAAATGTATAGGTGGTAATATTTTTTTTTCAAAAATGTTTTGCTGGTAAATTGTTTGTAATATTTTCCTTCAAAAATGTATTGCTAGTGTATTTTTTCCCCAAAAATGTATTGCTGGTAATATTTATTTCCTTCAAAAACGTACTTCTGGTAATATTTATTTCCTTCAAAAACGTATTTTGGTAATAAGTTTTTCTTCAAAAATTTATTGCTAGTATTAAAACCTATATTTACACTTTCATTGTGTATTGACCCAAGTTTGCAAGGTCAACTATTTGCCCATAGTCGAGAGCACAAGTCCCGACAAGTTTCTATTTTTTACATTATTCTGTTATCCTCGTTGCCATATTCACAACGTTTCGGCCATTGTACGCCCAGGCCATCTTCAGGTGATTCGAATTTCGAACCGAACCGTTCATATAGTCCATCGAGATAGATTTTTCTAGATCCACGTGCCATGCCGCTTCTGGATATATCTGTTATTTCCCCTTAACTCAACTCTCTGTAGTGAACTGAAAAGTATTTGGTTCTAGTCACCGGATCTAACCAACGTCTTTATCCACTTGGCCATGTTTCCTTGAGGACTGCTGTATACGAATTTTGGGACTTATAAACCTAAATGTCTCAGCAATCATTTTTACCAGTACTCATATTGCAATTTTTTGTTATTATTATTGCATTTTTTACCAGGGCTTATATTGTAATTTGTGAGATGAGGTTGAAATAATAGACAGAGAGCATCACTGGAAAATATGAAAACTTAAGGAATCATCAGATATGCTGAGCTACAAAAATTTTCTAAGCCAACCAAGCATAGAAATGAATGCAGTATGAGAACCAGTAATAAGTAGTGTTAGAGAAAAGCAATGAATAACAACAAAAATTGCAATATGGGCACCTGTAAAAAATATGGAATGATAACAGCAAAAATTGGTAAAAAATGGTTGCTGAAAACATTAGGTTTATAATACCCAGGAATTCATACACAGATGTCCTCAATGACACATGGCACAGTGGATAAAGGCGCTAGTTATCTCCAGTGACAGAACCCAAAGAGTGTGACTTCAGTACCTGGTTTAGGCGGTGGAGAACTTGGAAAGGGGAATTAACAGGAGATAACTGATAACTGACATCCATTAGACATGACACGAGGAACTAGAACATTCTATCCCAGCGAGCGAAATAAAGGGTTCAGTTCGACATTCCAACCACCTGAAGAAGGCCGGAGCGTACAACGGGCGAAACGTTGTGATAAATATGGCAACAAAGATGAAGACAATAGTCTGAATAATGTTTAATAGTGTACATAACACCTCATCTCAGAAATATAGACAGATACTGAAAAATTGCAAAGACTTTTGAGTTCAGTACCAGGTCAAAGCATTGATGAACCAGAACTTGGAGAGTTTTGTTAAAAGGAAATAACTCAGACGGAAGAGGAGTGGCACTTATTACTAGAACAATCTATCCCGGTGGACGAAAGGGCTCGGTTCGAAATTCCAATCACCTAAATAATGCCTGAGCGTACAACAACCGAAACGTTGTGGATATGGCAACGAAGGTGAGGATAACAGCCCGAATAATGTAAATAATGCAAGTAATCATAATACCTCATCTCAGAGATATAGAGGCCGAAACGTTGTGAATATGGTAATGAAGATGAGGATAACAGTCCGAATAATGTAAATAATAATAATGCATCATCTCAGCAATATAGACACAAGTTTCATTCTTTATTGTCACCAGCTGAAACATTTTAATTCCAAGACCCGCTTTGTTGCATCCACAGACTTGAATCATCCTCATTCCCTATGTATTCCTTTGGCGTTCCCCTCCAAAAACTTCCTCCCAAGACCTGCTCTTTTGCAAAACTGGGTCCAGCATAAATAATTCTACATACACTTCAATATTATTTTTTAAGATGTGATCTGCTTTCATTTGTTATTGTTGTTTACTAAGACAAGATTAGTTTAGCTCTAAACTATAAGCCTGGAGTATAACCAAATTGTCAAAATTTTAAGACCAGATACAAAAGGATTTAAAAATATGAAATAGTGTTACTTTAATCAAAATATATTTGCGAAACATTTACATTTAATTAGAAAATGTAGTTTATCAACAAACAAGTGAAAATTTTAAGTTTTTAATTAATTGATTTAAACAAAGATTGAAAAAAGGCTATTTTTGGTTGTTCATAAAGATAAAACCATGTGTGAAAAAAACAAATTACTGGACAAAAATTTTTAGAACTAGTTAGCTCATAGTTTGAGGCGTGTAGACATCTACGTAGCAGACAGACGCATTAGGCGAGAAGTTAAGAGAGATTCAAGCCTAACATCAAATCAGATAAAAGCGAATATAGATGATGAATGCAGCTCTCGATCAATTCGACAGCATTTAAACAAAAAAAAAAAGGGTTTAAGAATTTGAAACGGCTGCAGTGGCTTCGCCTTCTTCTTCGCCATAAAACCTCCTGTTTACAATTTGCTTCCGATTATGAAACTTGGGATGGGGATAATTTGAAGAAAGTGTTGTTTTCAGACAAGAAAAAATTCAACCTTGATGGCCCAGACGGTTTTCAGCGTTACTGGCATGCAAAAGATGTCCCAAAAGAAATTTTCTCAACACGACACAGTGGAGGTTGATCAATTATGGTCTGGGGTTCATTTTCGTACAATGGAACTCTTGAGTTACAGGAGGTAAAAGGTCATCAAACAGCTACTAGTTGCATTGACATGTTAAAAAAGGCATCACTAATTACTGAAGGTATTTATGTGGAGAAAACTGCAGTCCACGACGCTCTCCAGATCGAAACCCAATCTAGAATGTTTGGGGATGGATGGCAAAGGATATTTATAAACATGGATCGGAATTTGAAACTGTGGATGCTCTTCATGCTGCAGTTTATGCATCCTGGATGATCATCCCAAGCACCATCATGAAGAAGTTAATAATGAGTATACCAAATATGGAAAATACTGAGAATGTTTTTTTTAATTTTTTTACAATTAAATGTAAATGTTTGTTTAAATTAATCAGTTAAAAATATATTTTGTTTTTTAATTTTTTTCTAATTAAATGTAAATGTTTCGCAAATATATTTTGATTAAAGTAACAGTATTTTATATATTTTTTAACCCTTTTGTTACTGGTTTTAAGATTTTGACTAAGGGTGTATAGTGAGAACTAAACTTACTAATCCCTATTCATGGTCGACCATGCTGACTAAATAAAATAAATTTAAATATAATAATGTAAAATAAAATAAATTTAAATAATGTAAATAAAATAAATTTAAATATAATGTTATCTTCGTCATAGATTGTTGTATGCAGGCTACAATCAAGTAAAAGTATTTACATTATTTGAATTGGTGAAATAGAAAGAGTCAATAGTGATACTTGTTTTCAATTTTCTTCTTGACATGGTATTCATCGATTTTTAATTCTTGTCATCTTTTTAGTGCTAACAAACTATTTTTTCGAATTTTTGAGAGTAATGTAAAAGAAATATCACAAAGATATAAGGTTTGGTTTATTTTGTTTTACGGCATATTAACCTCAATGGATTATTTAATGCCGACAACATTTTTTAGGATAGATTCGTATGAATAGAATATGTATTCTTTGGTTTAAATTGGTTTGGTTTATTTTGTTTTACGGCATATCAACCTCAATGTGTTATTTAATGCCGACAAAAATTTTTATTGTTGGTAATATTTTGTTTTTTCAAAAATCTGTTTCTGATAACATATTTCCTTCAAAATTGTATTGCCGGTAATATTTTTTCTCAAAAAGGTATTGCTGGTAGTAGTTATCTATTGGCCTATAGCTGGGATCCTAATATTTGCTCCCACCCCGGGTCAGGGTGGACCTGGGAACACCAGCAATTAGCAGGTGGTTCCACGCTCCTCAAAACCTCCTGATCAGAGGCCTTGCTGCTGGACGTAGTTTAACGTCTTACCCAGGACGCGGGTGTAGTTTAACGTCTTACACAGGACGGAACAAAGATATATCCCAAATAACGAAAACCCCATCACTTGAAGTCATCTAACAGCATGAACAACAAAAGTCAGTAGCAAAAAACAAAAAAAAAATGTCTTCTGATAAGGTTTCCTCTGTTCTTACCAAGACTTTACGAACTTAAATGTCGTAATAGATTGGCGTTAAGTTCTCATGATTTTACAGTTGAATAATATGTAACGTTTAAAAAGAGAGGCTCAAGTCACCTGGTATCATTGGTCGGAAGGATTATACATAAATAGAAGTTGGGGTTCTACATCAAGCAAGGCAATAAATCCCCTATGATGCAAGGGTTTACTAAGTGTAAAGAATCTAAGAAAAATATAATTAAGCCTAATAAAAGAACAAGATTTAAGGAGAGAGATGATGACGATTTACTTTCCAATTGAAAGTTTTAAAGATCAAATTTAACTGGAAAGCAAGAAACAGGAAGAGAATTTCCCAAACGAGAAGTCTAAGAGAGGAAATTCTGAGCATAGAAGTAAAACTTATATCTCGCTATTTCAACTGTTAAATGATGAGACCTTACCGCCAATCTAGTACTACGCTTAAATTCGTCAAGTCTAGTTTAATAAGAAGGAAAACGATAAAATGGGAAATAAGAAGTAAACAGATTAGGTACGGTTATTTAGTTGGTACCGACGAAAGGTGTCAGTAATTTTTTTCTTTAATCATTTCGCCCCAAGGAAGGCAATAAAGCCACTAAGACACAAGGAATGACTCAATGTTAGAGAATATGCGAAAAACACAATTAAGCGGAGATTACAACAGAAGAGGAATTAAGCAGATAAAATATAAGAACTGGAATGCAAGAAGCCGGAAGAGAGTTCTACAAGCGTAAATTGAACGAGAACAATAGAAGTGTAATCAGGAAGACAGTAGATAACGATTGACAATGCATTTAAATGTTTGAAGATCAAAGTTGACTGGAAAGCAAGAAGCCGGGAGAGAGTTCCACAAGGGAAAATTGATCGAAAACAAAAGTGTAATCAGGAAGACAGTAGGTAACGATTGACATTCCATTTACATTTTTGAAGATCAAAGTTGACAGGAAAGCAATAAGACGGAAGAGTTGTTCCACAAGCGAGAAGTGCGAGAGAAGAAACTGTTAGCATAGAACTTGCGGTTATATCTTGCCATTTCACCTAAGATCGCTTATATGACTCCTACGATTATCATAACTGAGCTGCTGCGTCTAAAACTGTAAAAATGTGGCAAGCATTGATTTTTTTCACGGTGCCGAAAGAAACAGGTGTTATATATGTTTGTAATAAACTTTTATGATATTCTACAATAATATCTAGAATTAAAGACACAGGTTTTATATATGATAACGATACCGCATCTGTGGTGTGTCTATTTATATTAATTCGTGCGTATCTTTCGTTTTCTTTCTATGCTCATATTACGTATTTTAATGATTACATTATTTATAGTCACGATGCGTGGATTTCTGAGGAAGGAGGCCATGTTGAGACACGATGGAAAATTGTTTCAGATGTAAAGGCAACTCAATCCACACAGACAAACGCGCCTACAATTCGCACACACGTACGAATCTATCTATCTATCTATCTATCTATCTATCTATCTATCTATCTATCTATCTATCTATCTATCTCACTTTGTTAATATCTATCTCTCTATCGATAAATCTATCTCAGCATGTTCCTTATCTATCTATCTATCTATCTATCTATCTATATATATATATATATATATATATATATATATATATATCACCCTATTGCTTATGTATCTATTTATGTATTTCACTTTGTTTATATATACTTATCTATCTATCTATCTATCTATCTATCTATCTCACTTTGTTAATATATATCTATCTATCGATAAATCAATCTCAGCATGTTCCTTATCTATCTATCTATCTATCTATCTATCTATCTATCTATCTATCTCAGCCTATTCTTTATCTATCTATCTATCTATCGATCTATCTGCTCATGTTCCTTATCTCCCTGTCTATATATGTATCTATCTGTCTATGTATCTTTCTCTGTTGGCCGAAACTAGTCGAGGAATCTAAATGAAATAATAATAAAAACGAAGGAATATTAATATACAACCCAGTGTGTCAGCATTTTTTATATTTTTTTTATTGTTCAATATATATATATATATATATATATATATATATATATATATATATATATATATAGAGAGAGAGAGAGAGAGAGAGATAGATAGATAGATAGATAGATAGATAGATAGATAGATAGGCATTGTATGATAACAGTTTTAAATTTGGTTATGCAGGTTTTTGTTTGCTTGCTTATATTTATCTATTTTCTTTTTCATTTTTATGTTAATTTTTATTTTTACGTTTTATATATATATATATATATATATATATATATATATATATATATATATATATATATATATATATATATATATATATATGTATGTATGTATGTATGTGTGTGTGTGTGTGTGTGTATACTGTTGATCTGGTTTTTATTGATTTACGCACATAGTGTGATGCTGAGAAATGAAACCAATTTTAGAATGTGAAGAATCCACGCAAAGACTTTATAACGCGACACGTCATATTTTCAAAATTCGATTTATAAACTATAATATCACGCTCACTTAATAGGAGAAAACTTTAGAATTCAAAATTCAGAACCATTCCAAAATGATGCCACACAAAAATTATAATCAAAATTTTCTTTCTTGGTTACTAATGATTAAAGCCAGTCGAAACCTTGGAACATTAACACTAACAGTAAAGTATTATTTTCGACCTTCAACGTCAAAGGAAGGAAAACATTTCTGATGGCAAAAAAAAAATTATATCAAATTTAATTAAATGTATTATGTTATCATCAGCAAAATACTTGAACGGGTATTTTCAACATAAATTACCTATATATATATATATATATATATATATATATATATATATATATATATATATATATATATATATATTATACGTTATTAATGTAGATGCAAATATTTAAGTAAATTCTCTGTTTATAATAAACAGTATTAACAACATTTACCGGCCTTATGTCCGAGAAACGTCAAAGGAAGGAAAACATTTCTGATGGCAAAAAAAAATTATATCAAATTTAATTGAATGTATTATGTTATCATCAGAAAAATCTTGAACCTGTATCCATAAATACATAAATATATATATATATATATATATATATATATATATATATATATATATATATTATACGTTATTTATGTAGATGCAAATATTTAAGTAGCTAAACAGTATAATAACATTAGGCTATGTCCGATTTATTCCTTGCAGGATAAAGGTTTCGTATTCCTTTCGGCTATATGATTATTCTTGCAGGATTTTCGGTGAAATGAAATATCTCGGACATTCAGGCCGGTAAATATTTAAATACTGTTTATTATAAACTGAGCACAATATTTGTAACTATATAAATAACAATAAATAACGTATAACAATATAGATATTAAAATAATTGTCAGACTTAGTCCATTTCATAATATATGAGGTTATATATATATATGTGTGTGTGTGTGTGTTTACCTCAACCTACATCGTTAATTGGTTCCAGAGGTTGAAATAACTACACTATAAACCGCATTTAAGCATTTCCCATTGTATATTACAGTATTTATATTATGTACATACAGTATTCTGAATAAAATAAATTATCAGCGATATAGCCTTATGTTAGCATTATCAATGAAAGAACGATCTTGGAATTGTTTCCATTATAATCCAGTTTCGTCAACTTTAATAATCTGTTCATGATGAAACCTGTTTTCTTCGATTATCTTAGCCAATGCATTAGGAAAATCAGCTGCTGCTTGTTGATCAGCTGATGCACTTTCACCTTGCTTCTTAATAGAGTGTTAACTTTTTCGTTTTTTAAATCTCATAAACTAGCCTTGACTCGCTTCAAATTCTATATCTTTCTCATCTGGGTAGTTTTTGTTCAGTTCCTCAAACAAAGACAACGCTTTCACTTGAATGATTTCTTCCTATCAAACCAAAGAGAAAGAATTTATTCCACCCCTTCAAAGATTTTTCCTCTTTTCTTATTGATAACAGTATTCTTCATCCCTGGGTTATATGTTTCAAAATCTTATCTTTGGGAACAATCGATATAAACTTTTCAATTTTTTCATGGCGTTTTATCATTGTAAGTTTATCGTCCAGCGTTATAGCATAACGCTTAGCACTTGCACTAGGAAATTTCTTAGGAGACATTGGGGCAAAATATAAAGTCAAAAATGAATGAGAATGGGAGAGTAGGTGATAAGCAGACGTATACCGCGTGTATGCCTAAACTAAAATGGATTTCAATTTCGCGGGAATCACGAGTGGCGCTGAAAACGACACCAAACGGTAGATATTGGAACTATCATGAAAAACGTCAATATTGACCTGTTAAAGACCGCTAAATAAGACAACACAGAGCCACAGATGTTTTCATATTTCGTTCTCTAGGATTTATGATGATTATATTAACATTTACTATAAATGTACGTATTCTGATATGATTTAATATACTTTTATTCTCATTTATTGTACAGCAACATGATTTTATGTGCAGACAGACGTAAAGTCGAATAAAATGACATAAACTTGATTTTTATTTTTCCATATATTTTTGACAAACGACGTATAATCGAGAACAACTTTACTCGAAACGACGGTATACCTATATATATATATATATATATATATATATATATACACCGGGTGTAACAGCAAAATCAGCCAATTGTATCTTAGAAATGATTAAATATATCTTACTGGAATTTAATATAATACGGTTCAAGGTTTAATATAACACTATTCGACTCTAATTTGAGCAATAAGAGTGTATAATTACTCTCCAAGCTTAACAAAAGAACCGTGATGAAATCGATCATAAACGAAAATGACATATTGATCATTAATTAATATTAAGGATCGGAAGCTCATTAAAGATTGAAATAAAGTTCAAATGGATATATATTTTTTCCATGATCATTTTCCAACATATTCAAGATGATCTTCGCCCTCTCTGACATTCTAACTTTCTGTCCTGGAATAACAATATGCCTCACGCGTTTCACATATGATTTCTTTTTCAATTTTTTTTTCACTTTAAGTTTTTGGACTGTCATAACTTCAACTCCCCTCTCACGTACCAAACGTCTTATGGATTGAGTTGAATCTTTTCTAATTGAGCGCTTTACCTCTAAGTTGAAATGATGATCCCTCTTCCTGTTGTAACCTCCTGATCCAGTTTTCCTCTCTAATGATCCCACTTTTTTAAACTCATTCACCGTTCTCTTGATGGTTCTGGAATGGATTTTGAAGATGGAAGCCAGATTATGAATGTTGGTACCACTACTGAAGAGCTGAATGATTGTCATTGCTCAGTTGAGAAGACACCCGATATATATATATATATATATATATATATATATATATATATATATATATATATATATATATATAATCCAACCATCCAAAGAATTAAATACCAATGTCAATGTATTTATTTGCGGAATCACTTCGCTAAAATGACTTAATGAGACAATAACTTACTATCCATTCCTTGAATAAGATTCTTATATTCCAGTTGTTGTCAGATAGAAGACACATACCAAGTACTTTCGATAATTTCAAATTGTCATCTTCAGGGTCCAATTTCCCCATACACAGGCAAACACTAAGAAGAAATATGTGTAGATCATAATTATTTAATTTTAATTTATGCTATTTATTGACAGTTGAAGATATGTTTTCGAGCATACAATGCCGCGATATATATATATATATATATATATATATATATATATATATATATATATATATAGGATGTGTGTGTGTAGGATGAATAGACTTAAGTCTGCTTATGCTCTGGTCTCATACAAAAGTGCAATACGGTTTGCATAAAAAAAATCAAACAAGATAAGCAGGGAAATAAACAGATTATAAATTATTCCTTTGTGACAAATGAAAAACGTTTTTCTTGCATGACGTATCGATCTGATAGATGTTCGGTTCATCAATACAATTTCCTTTCGGGAAAGAAGAAATCGGATTGGCATACAAAAATAAGCAGCAGAAAATTCAATACTTTCCTTTGCAGATCCTATTCCCGCCAATCAGTGATGTTGGCAAATTGTTCACTGATCCGAATAATAAGTACGAACAACAGCTGGAACTCTCTCTATCTATCTACCTCTCTCGCTGTCATCCCAGATGATTTGTGAATCACACTCAGTTTGGATAGAAAAAGAACAACACTGGAATAAATCCCCTCTTCTTTTAAGATGACTGATAATACTGACCATATTTATTGATAATTTTTATACAAAACATGCCGTTCATTACTAAAGGCCATTTCATGGTGTAAAGTTTGTCCAGAACTCGTCGTTCTATTGTGAGCGAAGATTTTTTTTAAATCGTTTCCTGCTGTAAAGTTTAAAAATAATGTTGAGATTAAGAACATAATTAAATAAAAAGTCACCAATGTACAAAAGTTATTAAAAGTTCTTGGTGCGAGCTACTTCCTAAGATCTTACCAAACTGAATGTTACCTTCAATTTCTTCACGGCCATGAATATTTCAACACTGCACTTCATTTTATTATTACAAGAAAATCATAAACTTCACTAAATTCTAGTTAAAGAGACCACGGTATATGGCCTCAAATTAAGTTCATATATATATATATATATATAGATAGATAGATAGATAGATAGATAGATAGAGAGTATGTGTGTGTGTGTCCAAAATACTTTTATAAAATTGAGGGGTGAATTTCTCACAACAAAACAAGAACAAATGTACATATAATGATATGTAAGCAAATATATGGATATAGATCCGATTTCTTGAACTGTTTATATAAAATAGTTCAATCGACTTTTTCATATTTTAATATTTGGAAATCATCTTCGAATACGTTTTCACAACATCGCCGACGTGACGACGACGTGATCATATTTAAACGGAATGCTGATCTTATATAAAGATTTCAGTTATCTGTTTGGATTAATTGTGCTCTTATGTCCATCGTCTTTTCATGTTGAATTTTATATGTTCTAATGTTAATTATGTTTTATGAATATGTCCTGAAGATGGTCTTAAATAGACCGAAACGTCCGACGTTGACTTAATATTAACATTAATACAGCATAATTGCATATTAAGATTTCTGTTTGTTTTTTCTGTATATTTTTCTTCATATAATGATATGTCCGCAAATCCTTCGTTTTTGAATTAATATGTTTAAAGAAATTTTACAAAGAATGTCTCTGTGGGTCTGTCGACTTGGTTACATTTGTCATTCGTGTGCATTTGTGGCTCGTCTTGAACGCTTAACATGTGTAGTAGTGAGTTAAATGATTTTTTTTTCTTTTTAACAATGGCAGAATATTCATATCGTGAACAGGCAAATGTTATTTTTACATACATCCGCGCTAATGATGATGGTCGCTAGACTGCACGGCTGTATTAGGTATTAGGTTGTGTTCCCTGACTGAAGCCGGCCGAATCATCAAACATTTGCTGCTGTTTATCTTTGCATTGCTGAAACAAGGATCCGTGGCACCACAAACTTTGAATCGAGGAAGAACGAGATTCGCTTGAGACGATCCAGGTATCAGCACACGTCAAGTGGCCCTAGCATGTCGTACATCACATAGTACCTCATCGAGAGACCTTCAAGAGCATCTCCTTATCCATATCATTTGCAACGTGTGGAGAGTCTTTCGCCCTTTGATCACTTACCACAGGAGAACTTTTTTTCCGATGGTTTATTGCACAAACTGTCGATCCGTTGTTTGTCTCTTCACTCTTGTTTACAGATATGATAACATTTTGAACAACAAATTTACACAATCAACATTTGTGGGCGGATGTGAATCCCCATGATACACTACAGACTAGATACTAACATCAGTTTATGATTAAAGTGCAAGCTGGAAATGTAGGTGACTGTCTGGTAGATCCATATGTTCTTACAGCACGTCTTACAAGAGCTGTGTACAGAGAATTTATTTCGAACACACTTCCAGGCCTGCTAGAGGATGTACTCCTGCTAATACGATGACGTATGTGGTACATGTACGATGGGGATCCAGCACAGTTTAATCGCGATGCACTGGCTGACATCTACTATGATAGATAGGTAGGGGAGGACCGGTTCTATTACCTGCTCGTTCCCCTGACTTCAATCCTTTTGATTTATATGTGGGACCACCTAAAAAGATTTATGTAGCAGTCATTAATAATGCAGAGACGCTTCATCATCGTGACATGGGAGGTGGGGGTCTGTGAAACAGTTCTTTATCTTGTGGGAATATTTGAAAAGTGTCCACCAGTCAGTGATCCGACGGTTGCATGCGTGTGTAGAAGCAAGCGGAGGACATTTTGAACAATTTTTAGGAGTTGCTATGTTGAGGTACAACGATGGCCTTTAGAATATATTTTCTATGTACATTATACCCTTTTTTTGCTGTCACAAACCCGCTCCCAAAGTTTGTAAAAGTACTTTTGATATACCATGTATATGTAAAAACAAACATCAACACTCAACAAAATTTATTACGAATATAGCAACAATATATTAAACTGCAGATAACACTTAATGAAATTATATATATATATATATATATATATATATATATATATATATATATATATTTCTAGCAAATTCGGTCATCTCCTTTATAACGAAACGTTTGTTTTGGAAAAAAAATCCAAAACTATAACGAATCACTTTTGAAATAATTACAACATCATCAAAACGGAATGTAAGTTTGCATTTTTCAAAATGTCTGAAAAGAGCGGAAGTACTTTGTTTAAAAACTACGACGGCACCTTCCTTGAATTTAAACTTAATATCAAGAAACTGATTAGACAGCTGGAAAGAATCAGTTTAAAAATAAGTAGACAAAATATGGTTATATTATTTAAGGAAGCAGTCTATTTATATAACTGAAAAGGAAAAATAATTTCCATGCCTGAAGATGGTAATAAGTATTACCGAAAGTACTCGCATATATACGGAACATCTAATATATTTTACAATTTTTTAAAATTAATGATCGTGTCATTCAACGATTGGTTAGTAAGTTAATGCTTTATTAATTCTTTTATCGCAGTAAATTCGCAATTAATTACATTAACTTTACTGATTTATTATTTCTATGACTACCTCTTTGTAATATATATATATGTATATATATATATATATATATATATATATATATATATATATATATATATAGTGGACAATGAAGTTAACAGTACAATAGATGCAATCCTTAAGCAATGGACGTTGTGTTTTTGTTCGACTATTTATATATACATGTGAGTGACGTACTGTATCTAGTCTCTTGTATTAGTCTAGCGATTATTTTGGTGAACGGTAAGGGTGTTGTGTTTCGAAGCATTCTAGTGACTGTCGAGTGGATATAACTGTGTGTCCGGATGTAGATTTTGCCTATTTATAATGCTGTTTGTTAACTTTTTTTCATTATTGATTATTTTCTAGTTGGTTGTTATTATAACGCTTATTATCAAGTTTATGTGTTCGTTCGTATATATATATATATATATATATATATATATATATATATATATATATATATATATGTATCCGGATATTTCAGATATCTCTTTTGATGAAAATTTTCAGGTGAAATTATATTCCTTTTCAAAGCCAACATATATAACAATAAAATGTTAAAATTTAAAAAAAACGTTTAAATTCGTAAAGTTTTATTATTTAATATATATAATATATGAATTAATAATAATAATAATAATAATAATAATTTTTATATAAGAAAATCAACATTTCCTCACATTTATTTATAAGACATTAAATTACTTCACTTAGCATCCTCCATAATTTACTTTCACTTTCACTAAGCCTGATATATATTCATGAGCGCTGTTAAATTTTAAAATTCGGCAAAACTAACGATATTTTCTTTTATTCTGATTATAAATACTTGTTGCAAAACAACATCCTTACGTTAACCTTGATAAAGATTTCCTTTTGTCTTATATATATATATATATATATATATATATATATATATATATATATTAATGTTATACGTTATTTCTATAGACACGAATATACACTTTTTATAATAAACAGTATGAACAACATTTACCGGCCTGAACGCCTAATTTTCTTAAAAAATGTGTCTTCCTGCAGGAATCGAACCTGTATCCTACACGGAACCGTCATACAGAGAAATCATGGAAAATCGTAGTTTAAAAGCAGTAAAATCGACCCAGCTAACCAGACACTCCTCTTTAGCTAAACTGGTATAGCACGTCAGGCTATATGTAGTTTATACTGTTTATTATAAACAGAGAATTTACTTAAATATTTGTGCCTATATAAATAACATATAACAAAAAAATATATTAAAATAAATGTCGGACTTTGTCTATTTCGTAGTTTGTGACATATATATATATATATATATATATATATATATATATATATATATATATATATATATATGATATAATAAAATAAATGATTTTTTTGTAAGCATTTCATGCCAAGCAAGATAGGAGTACCACTAACAGGCAAGGGGTTACAGAGAGGAAGAAGAAGAGTAAAGAGAAGTGTTTGAATAAAGGATAAAGAGAAGTACGGAAATCGTGATCAAGGCATCAGAAGATGTCGATTGACATTACATTTGATTATTTGAAGATTATAGCTATCAAAGAATAATTTTTTTGAAGTGATTGACATTTTTTGAGAATCAAATCTAAATATTCATATTGAAAATTAAACATTTTCATTTTTGCTATGTTCTAATTTTTTTTTAAATCTTTTCATGCTGCAGCCTTTAGTTTCCAGTTGAAATGAGTTCCGAGTTGAACTCAGTTCTGAGTTGAACTTACTTCTGATTTGAACTTAGTTCTGAGTTGAACTTAGTTCTGAGTTAACTTAGTTCTGAGTTGAACTTAGTTCCGAGTTAAACTTAGTTCTTAGTTGAACTTAGTTCTGAGCTGAACTTAGTTCTGAGTAAACTTAATTCTGAGTTGAACTTAGTTCTGAGTTGAACTTAGTTCTGAGTTGAACTTAGTTCTGAGTTAACTTAGTTCTGAGTTGAACTTACTTCTGAATTAACTTAGTTCTGAGTTGAACTTAGTTCTGAGTTAACTTAGTTCTGAGTTAACTTAGTTCTGAGTTAACTTAGTTCTGAGTTAA